CCGTCTACAATACACGGAGTAAGAAGTAAGAGTAAGAAATTGACCAATCACAGTCGAATGTGAGAAGAATAATCGACTGTGATTGGTCAATTTCTTACTCTTACTTCTTACTCCGTGTATTGTAGACGGGTCTTTAGGGTATATCCATACAAACTTGCAGAGTCGCATAAACGTATGCATAACGAAAATTATTCAATTATATTTTACGTACGTCTTTATAAGAGAAATGCGATTGGATAATTTTCTTTATGCAATAATTTATTCTCGATTCAATTTTTTTTCAGAAAAAAAATACAGTAAAAGTACAATAATATAAAATTCATGATGAATGAATTTTATATTATTGTACTTATGTAATTAAAATGAAATTCATCTCATGAGTTAACTGTAATTGCTCGTTAAAAAGCCTTGATATCAATTATATATAGTATTATTACATGTGTTGAAGCATAATTATACATGTAAGAAGTATTATTGTATACATTAAATATGTATTGACAATATAAAATATTCTATAATTTCTAAGCAAATATGCTATATTCTGTAACTTCTAAGCACTATTTTTCGTATAATTTACTATCTATAAATAGTTTTGCTATTTGTTTTAAAATAAACTTGTATCAATTATGTTTAATATATGCATTATTATATACAAACAACTTGTTAGCTTACATTGACATTATTTTATTATTCTTTTCCTGCGTTTTAATATAAAGTGATTTATATTAATTTTTTGTTATAAAATAAAATTAACAATATAAGGAAATGGCTTAAGTGATTTAGATGATAGAAAAGTTTATTACACAAAAATAATTTTTATTTAGATAAAAATAGTTTTTATTTAGACAAAAATAGTTTTTATTTAAATTAGTAATAAAATAAATAAGTAATAAATATAACATAATCTAAATTTGATCCTTGTGACGTTCTTCACGTAGCACCTCGAGTATTCGCATCATTGCCCTGTCCCGTGCATCTTCGCTCAGGGTATCGAGCTTGTGCGCAACCGTGGTGCAGAATCCAATAGACGGACTCTGAACATTCTGTTGTATGTTGATATTTATGGACTCCTGCATCAACTCCCATATTTTGTCCATAAAATTGTCTCTATTTCTTTTTCGACTTGGACCAATACCTAAAAGAATAAAGGCATTTAGTTCCTTTTCATAAAATAAAAGTCTGATTAGTTGATTAGTTGATACGGACTCATAATTAGTTCTTTTTTAATCAAAGGAATATTGTAGACAGTCCATAGTGCAAATAATCATGAATATCAAAAATCTTACGTGGTATTTGTGACACACTGCTCATATTGTCTTCCATGCTGGCATAATCAGCATCGGTCGAAGTGTCTTGATGTACAGAGATGTTTGACATTGTACTGAAATTGCAAGAAATATTTTTAATTAATTCGTGTAGGTGCATTATTTTTATGATACTTATTTCTATTATGCACATTCATATGTACTCGTTTTGAAGATTTATCTCTCGAAGGAAGCTCATTCTCTCAAAGTGAATCCACTTCGATGTCTTTTGAGCTGCTGAGCCACTTGGCAACTGCACGATTTTTTGATGCCTCCTGAATGTATCCAAGAGGGACTTCCACTTCTTTTTGGCTTCAGTTACAGTAACAACACCTGCGAAACAAGACTGTACATTACATACATGAGACGTAATAATGTATGTATGGCTTAGTTTACATCATGCATTTGATACAGGTACTAACAAGTAACTTTCCATTGAATGATCTTAATTTCAGTGATATGTTAAACCATATATACATGATATGTGTATTTAATTAATCATTACGATGTTTACTGTACTAATTTAGTACATTATTCTTTAAATACATTGCTGAAATTAAAATAATTTAATAGAAAGTTTCTAGTTAGTACGTGTATCAAGTGCATGATGTAAACTAGGCCTATATGTAGTAAACTTCATTATAAGTATTAAAAATTGTACCTTTCATAACTGCAGCCACATCTAGCCACAACTTCTCTTTGCTCCGAACGCTCCTTTCTGCAGTTGGAAACTTGAAATTCCAAAGAGGCGGTCGTCTCCGAATCGCCTCAATGAGACGCTCTTTTAAAAATATCTTCTGCATATTTTCATTCTCTGGAAGATTTTCCACATCAAAGTCTTCCTCATTTGGAATTTCTGTCTCTTGAATGTTCTCTTCTGCATCTTCAGGCATCTCCAAAACATTCTGTTCAGTGCCATCTATCAGGCTTCTACGCAGAATTTTTCCGTTGTCTGCACATATAAAAACTTAACAGTACTAAGGGCCAGTTGTTCCATCTTTTGGTCAATTTTACCTGTAAGGTATATCTAGTAATCCACGCATGTGACTGGGTAATCTTGCTACTTATCCAACAGGTAAAATTTACCAAAAGGTAGAACAACCGGCCCTAACACATGTATTAAATTTTTAACACTAGTATGTATTCCACCGGAAAGTACTTACCACACTGTGGATAAAAATAATGCTGCTCGTCCACATAACGTGTAAAAGATTCTAGGCACGGATGATTTTGCATTTCATTGGCATTGCAAGTCATCTCGCACAGCCCACACGTGTACACAATTTCCATTTCCTATAAAGCATAAAATAAAATATTAATTCCAAGTAAATTTATGATTTTATATTTTATCGTGCTTGACCATATTAATTAATTTATATAACATCTATTTGCGAACATTGATAATGATCCGATCAGTATCAAAACGTTTGTTGTTTTGTTTATAATTTTATGTTTATAATGATTTTTTATTTTCATATTCAAATATTAAACGTTTTTAATGGAATAGGCTCACAGCCTTTTCATTTTATCTTTGTGATTTTATTTTTATAGAGAATATTATCTTTAATTTCAAGCTTCGCAATTCTGAGGACGATGTATTACTCAGTATTCAAAAAATCAAAATTATGTATTCGGCAATGATCACATAAATCTATTTCTATCTATTTCAATTCCCAAATTGAAATAGAAAGAAATAGATTTGTGTAGTCATTGCCAAATCCAAAATTCTCATTTTTCGGATACTGGGCAGTGAAAACATTAAATAGAGGTTATATACAAAGTGTGACAGACATTAAGCCAATACATACACAATCAATCAAATAGTTAGTATTAATAACACATTATATACAAACCTTATTGTCATTACCAAAATCCATTTTTTTAAATAGTCGGAACGATTCTATCTTTGAGTATAGATATGGAGGAGGAATTTCATTATTTTTCCTTCTTCTTTACAAGATAGCTACTACTCCTAAGGGGATGCTGCTGGAGTAACGCTCGAAGTTAATCAAAGTCGATAGTATAGACTTTTTTACATTCCAAATTCGATAATAGTGACATCTTTCATTCGTTTCTTATACTTATTATATATCGTTGTGTCAAACGTTGCTCAAACGCATTCATCTGTCCTTATCTGACATATTGCAACGCCATCTCTTAGGCCGGTATTCATAGTCGGTTCTTATTTTAAGACCGTCTTAAGTAATGTCTTAAGTCGCTAATGCGGCCTTCTGATTGGTTCATGACTTCTTAAGACCGTGCTTAAGACGGTCTTGAATATAAGATCTGACTATGAATACCGGCCTTAGAAAGAGATCAACTAAAATACTGCTCGGTTTCATGGCTTCATGTCAATTTTATTCATAGTATACGAACGAAATTTTTGGCGACTTTTTTCTCTTATACCAAAGCCCCTACATCGTTTCTAAAAGCATAGGATTGTTCTTCAAGGTTTTCTGTAGGCTGCTGGCTACTTATTTTAAACGGGTAA